ACACACACACACTCTCTGTCTGCAGTGTTTACAGGCCCTGGACTTCCTCCATGCTAACCAGGTCATCCACACCTTTAACACACACTCCTGTAACACACTCTCTGTCTGCAGTGTTTACAGGCCCTGGACTTCCTCCATGCTAACCAGGTCATCCACAGGGACATAAAGAGTGACAACGTGCTGCTGGGGATGGACGGCTCAGTGAAGCTCAGTAAGTTCTGCTGTTCGCTGATGTTTAATGTAAGAGTTCAGTTTTACACTTCTTATAACAAAGTGATAAGACTAATTTATTTAGCAAGGGATCTCTTTTATTTAAGGTAAACTTTCCTCCAGTGCAACATGAATAAACACAAAAAGTGACTGTCAGTCAGTGAAYGTTGATTTGATCCATAAATATTGCGTTTATTTTACAAATCATRCAGAATCACTWAGTACACTTAACTGTGGCTATCGGTTTAAAAGTTTAGAACCGACAATAACAAGCTTCTATTTCAACTGTGAAACACTTAAACAGAAACACAAATGTCAGCTTAGATGTTAAACACCAGACAATTTAAGGCGAATTAACTTAGGGTTGGCAAGGAAGACTTTATGAAAAGGAGGAACGTAAGATGTTAGATTTTGCTATATTTTTATCTTAAATGTGGGTTTTAACCAGAAGGGCGAAGCTTTTTGTGCTCGGCGTTGGTCAAACAGTGAAGTTCACACACGGCCAGCATTTCACCTTGAGATGATGTTTTCTCACCTGCCAGGTATTTCAGGGCTTCTGCTAAGAAAATCTGTTCAGGACTGTCCACCAGAGTGACCCTCAGGTGTGTTTTCCAGGCTTGACGTCCACTTCAGCTGTAGAAAACAGGCGACGCCCCAGACTGGAATCCAGGCTTCAAAATAAAACTTCAGTCTGGATAGTTTCTGCAGTGGATAAATCAGGTGTTGGTCATCCACACTGTGAGGTTTCCTCATCAGGGATGAACGGGCCAAACCTGACAGTTTTCAGCTCTTGACTCTCCGAGAGAGTCTAGCTGTCAGTGTGACTACCAGGTGGTCCGTCACTTCCTGCCGTCCGGGCGGAAACTGTTAGTTACTAAGAAGCTTAGAGAATCTAAGTTCCTCCCTCCAGAAGGTCAGATTAGTAAAGGAGTTACTATGGAGAGAAAATAAACTAATTAAGTTTGTGTGAGTGTAATACAGTTTGTGTGAGTGTAATACAGTTTGTGTGAGTGTCATAATGTTGGCCTGTGCGTAATAAAGTTTGAGTGTGTAAAACATGATTTGTAACCCATAAAAAACATTTTGTGCGTAACTTCGGGTATTTGTGTGTATTTAAATGTACACACAAATATTAATAAGTTACGAATACAAAATAAAAGTACACACACAAATATAAATTACACAAACATTCAAATTTCAGACAAATTTTTTATCTTCAACCTCACAAATCTGATAATCACACACACAAACTGGCTCCTACACACACAAGTCTTTAAATACACACAGACAAAACTACATTTACACACAGATCTGGTTACGGTTACACAAATCATTTTAGACAGTTTTCACGCTGCAGCAGAGCTCCCAGGTTTGTGTGTAAATGATGCGTTTACATGCTGCTAAAAAGATGGGAAATTTAAACTTCCTTCAGACCTTTGAATTGTTTCCTTGAAAAACGATTTCCTTGTGCTGAAGTGGTACATTTTTGTTTTTGTTTGTTTAAGAGAGAAAAAGAAAGAAGAACAGTTTAACATCTCTTAGTTGTACTGTTTAATTTTCTAAGGTTGTTTATATTTGTATGTGTGTATTTATGATGTGAACAAATGTAGTTCCAGTTAAAAGAGTCGACCAGTACATGGTGCTGGGATGCTTCTCTTCATGCTGTGGGAAAAGCAGGAGAGCTACAGGAAGAGGGTAATGGTGGGGCATGGTTTACCTTCACAACCAAGTAGAAGAACTGCACACTTTGTTTTCATATAAACTTAGGTTTTATACAACTATTGGATCTCATGTAAGAACCGTTGGTACACAGATTTGTTCTTAAGTTGTGCGTACGAGTGATTTAGGAG